TTTTTGTTGCAATTAAATGCCATTTTGTGAAGGCCTGCCCAATTAACTAACTATTAGTAAAATGAATTAATAATAATTTAGTCGTAAATAAAATTATCCACATGATGATGACCTTTCACAGGGACTATCCCTCACGTTCAGACACCTTTAAAGGTGGGGTAAGCGATTTCTGGTAGCCAATGTTGACATTTGAAATCACCAAAATAAACACGCCCCTACTCCAAAAGTGTCTTGCCCCTATTTTGATAGCTCCACCCCACACATACGTACGCAACCCAGGCAACGGATTAGTTCTGTGAAACAAAGCAAAACTGCTGCTGCGTTCCATTCATGACGTATTGACACAAATTTCAAATGATTTTCAATGACTTTAGCTGTTGCGGCGCAGACACGGTGTTACTCACCTATCGAGAAGAAACAAAACAACCTCAGCGTCCGATCGCAGGCCTTCCACTCCTTGAGTTCTCTCCAACGCTGGAAAGCTGATCCGATATTTACACTGGTCCTACTTCTTGCCTTAAACCTTCTTTTGTTCCGCAGACGTTTTCCTCTTTTGTTTTTTATCCGCCATCTCTATCTTTCTGTTGCTCTCTTAATGTCCGTCCCGTGCACTGAACGCGCTCTCCTCCACATCCTGAGTAGTTACGCCCCTTACTGCTGATTGGCTACAAGTTTGTTTTGCTATTCGGCCCGAATCGGTTTTCTAAAGTGTTTTTGAAAAATCGCTAACCCCACCTTTAATGTAGCCCACTACCAGGATGCCTTCATAACATCCGCAGCTGCCGGTAAGTGCAGTTCTCAGGCGGAGCGGTGTCTTATATTATTAAATTATTATTATTATACAAGAACTGCGTGAAGAGAGCATGCACAGCTGTTGTTTATATTGCTGTGTGTAGCCTGTGGAAGTATGGTTAGCTGCAGCAAGGGGCTATAATATTTTTGTTCAATATTTTCCTAATGACAATTTTATGATCGGTTTATAAAGGCTACTACGAGCACCTTTTCCCCATTTTTATCACAGAATAAGGCAGG